CCCGTTGAGGAAAGCGAAGACCAGACATGCATAACACATGTCCTAACCATCTCAGTCGATGTAGCTTCACAGCCTCGTCTATTGATTTCCCCTCCCTACCTAGCACTCGACCGATGCCTAACCTCAATATCGCTCACCTTATTATACCACTTCACATGGGAGTGGGGTTTACAATGCGAGCTCGTAGACCCTTAAGCCACTGCAGCCCGATCCAATGGTCTGTGAATTCCAACTTCTACCGATTCATAATATGGCGTCACCACTAGCGGATGTCATCCGTGGTGAGAATTTGTCCTCACACCCAACCTACGGTACCCAAATGGTCACGACTTCCTACTAGAACACAATAGAAGAATGTTCAACAATAGCTTTATTTATTCCTGGGTTGGTAAAACATATTATCGATTTATACAGTCATGTATATTTAGTTTTTCAAATCAAAGTTTTTACCAGTCGAGTAGTTATTTTAGTCCATCCGTTTTTTAGGTATAGAGGATGGGGGGGGAGTGAAATTAAAACGTTAAAAGTCATGGAAACATCAATTAACTAGTAGATATCAGTAACAAGATAACTAAATTCTGAAGGAGGGGTGAAAATTAACTAATTATTAAATTTAAGATAAGTTCATGCTTAAGCGTTAGCAAGAAGTTATTACGTGATCAAGAAATTATTAAAATAGCCATGATGACTCAGAAGAATTACGTGAAATACAAACAAGGTAATAGAAATAGCTAGAAGTGTAAAAAATAAAATTTTTTTTTAAAAAGTCAAAAGACAGTTACGAGGGGAAGGGAGAAAATCAGTTATCAACCCCTCCTTCCATCCTGTTACATTAGGATTTAAAATTGTCGTCTAATTGTGTGGTTGTGTATAATTGCATGTACTGCCACAGCTGAACTATTCTGCAGATATCTTATCTTATTCAGGTCAACTAATCTGGATTTTTATGCTCCGGCAATCTGACTGTCTCTATTCTACTACTTTGTCCTATGTATTTCACCTGACAATCATTCCAGCAGGGTATTACATGAACTAAATTGTTTTATTTTATTGACTTCACAGAATCCTTTAACCGAAGAAGCTTGTTCTTAATTTAGTATGCGGATTTGAATGCCAGCCACTTTTATTTCTGCCTGTGTTGTAAAGAATTTTGCGTAAGGTTTCCGAGGTTATCATTATTTGGTGCATGTTTGACAACGCATGTCATAATTAGTATTATTATTTGAACAAGGCATTAAGAAGACAAATTTCGCGAGATGATATCATTTCGTAGTTTCTTTACAACCGCTTTACAACTAACATGGTTAACAATGATAAAATAAAGTTCATGAAATTTACTCAGTTAAATAAAAACAAAAGTACATACTAATGACCAATCATATTAAGATAGGTCATGCAGTCCAGGGTAGGCGAAGATTGAAGTCTATTGATTTTTGTACACACAGTTTAGGCTGTATGTGATTAATCCACCAAAGTGCTTCCATCACCTTCAATAACTAACCGTGAATTAGAGTTATGTGAAATAATTGTGAAACAGTCATTAATATTTATTTTGTGACCAGATATTAATAAGTGTTTTGCAATGGATGATGCTGGATTTCTATTAAGATTAATCGCGTTGGGATTTTCGATATGGTTTACTAGCCATTTTGGAATATGTTCTTTTCGACGACATTGGAACATTCTGTTAGTTCTACCTATATAGGTGTCACCGCAGCTGCAGGTGAACTTGTAGATACAGTTTGAAGTAGAGTCCACAGAATTTCGTCCTTTAATCGTAGGAACAGGTTATCCGGAGAGCTTTATCACTTGTCACAGCAAAGAAAAACCACATCTCGAAAAGACAGCTTCTGTACCAAAGAAAGCCATCTTTATTAATCTACCATTCAAGGGTGACCAGATTATGCAGTTGACAACTCAAAGACTTCGATCAGCCATCAAACGCACATTCTACGCCGCATCTCTTTTTCTCACTTGCCGAACATTTTCGATCCCTGTTCCTACGATTAAAGGACGAAATTCTGTGGACTCTACTTCAAACTGTATCTACAAGTTCACCTGCAGCTGCGGTGACACCTATATAGGTAGAACTAACAGAATGTTCCAATGTCGTCGAAAAGAACATATTCCAAAATGGCTAGTAAACCATATCGAAAATCCCAACGCGATTAATCTTAATAGAAATCCAGCATCATCCATTGCAAAACACTTATTAATGTCTGGTCACAAAATAAATATTAATGACTGTTTCACAATTATTTCACATAACTCTAATTCAAGGTTATTGAAGGTGATGGAAGCACTTTGGATCAATCACATACAGCCTAAACTGTGTGTACAAAAATCAATAGACTTCAATCTTCGCCTACCCTGGACTGCATGACCTATCTTAATATGATTGGTCATTAGTATGTACTTTTGTTTTTATTTAACTGAGTAAATTTCATGAACTTTATTTTATCATTGTTAACCATGTTAGTTGTAAAGCGGTTGTAAAGAAACTACGAAATGATATCATCTCGCGAAATTTGTCTTCTTAATGCCTTGTTCAAATTTATCAAAGGGACTAATTGTTTTAATAGTATTATTATTGTTGTCACTATCGCTACTATCATTATTTATTTTATTTTTGCGTTTTCTTACATACTTCCTGACTAATTTATTAGGGTAATTATTAAGCTTCTCTTATATACTCCACTTCATGGTCAACTCTGTCGAAAGCTTTTTTTCAAACTCGATGAATGTGAGGTAAACAAAGCTATGGCTGCCGCTCTATGCTTCATTCGATGAGGATATATAACATTGCGATTTGATTCGCACATGATTGGCTTTTCCTGAAACCAGCTGGTTACGGGAGGAGTTTCGCATCCAAAGCGTCTTTCAGTTTCTCTACGATAAGGTTGTCATCTGAAGTGGTGACGACTAGTGGTGTCCGTCAAGGATGCTCATTATCCCCATTTCTATTCAACTTCATCATAAATGTACTAATGAACTTAACCCTAACTCACTTCAGAGACTCAGGGATTGACTTCCTTCCACCAGGGAATAATCTCGTTGACTTAGAATATGCAGACGATATAGTCCTTCTGGGCGAGGACGCTGACAAAATCCAGCAGTCTTCTGAACATCTTGAGCTGCAATCTAAGAATGTTTGGCATGAGATTCGCTCCCGCTAAATGCAAGATGATGTTACAGGACTGGACTACTCCGACTCCTAGTTTAGAAATAGGGAGTGAAGTGGTAGAGCACGTTGACCACTCCTACTGCCTTGTAGGTCACACTTGGCTGTGTAAAGGCTAGAGCTGCACTCTCAAACAAAAGGCCGAGCGATGCTGGGGACATCACTCGTACCAAATTCCCATGAAACTTCATGAACTCTCTTACAAATTGCCGCGCCTGGGCAGCGATGATTCGAGGCGTTCATGAAGCCGGCTCATCCTCCCGTAGGAGATAGCCGAAGTAAAGTAAAAGTAAGTAAGTACGTTGACCGCTTCACTTATTTGGGCAGTACCATCAACCAGTGCCAACGGGTTGATCTCTGACGAAATCTTAGTACGGATACAGAGGGCTAGTTTCACATATGCCAGTTTACGCCGTTTCTGGCGTAGACGTGATATCCGGCTGGCTGTCGACCACAGGGCGGCTGTACTGCTCATCAGTCCACTCCGCCCTCCTTTATGGTTGTGAGACCTGGCCATTGAGAGCGGAAGACATGAAAAAGGAGGCTAGCTGTCTATGATCATAGGTGCCTGCATTCTATCTCCCGTGTGAAGTCGCATAATAAGGTGGGCAATATTGAGGTTAGGCTTCGGTCGAGTGCCAGGTAGGTGGGAAGGGAAATCAATCGACGAGTCTGTGAAGTTAAACTGATTGAGATGGTTAGGATATGTGTTACGCATTCCTATCCTAGCAACCGCCTTCCTCGACCGACGGGCAACGTTAGCTGACTGATATAAGATGCATGAGGTTGCAAAGGCGCCATTGGTGGTCAATGCAAAACATGGCTTCATCAGTCAATGAAATCCACAACAGTTAGTCTAAGCCACGTAGGGAGGTGTAAACTTCCTGACTGGTTGGGGTCCTCGGGACGGTAAAAACCAATGGTTGGAAACAATAGGTGATGTGGCTCAAAATCGTTGTCAATGGCTGGCGCAGATGCATCCACTCCTTGTGACTTATGATTTCAAATGAAACTGTTTTGTTCTTCGTTATTACTATTCCTTTGTCTCACACCTCTGTTTAATGTCTCTATTATGCATTTCTTCTCGTGCTTTGTGTGCTACATGGAGGGAGTGTGGCGACTTGAACTTCCGCACATCGGTGCAAAGTTCTATGTCGAAAACAGACAAACAGACAGACGATAAGGTTAAGTTAACTTAATTAACGATGTACTAGATTTATTTAGGGGTAGCTTGGAATTAGGTAAGCTATAAATTGAGTTGAGGGACCAAATGTACCTTTCAACCCTATGACTCATTCCAAGATCATTGACACATTCAAACCTGTAGAGTGTCCAAAGTGTTAACTCTGCCATTCTACCCTTTTAATATGTCTTGCCTACAAATTTATACCGGTTAATTGAGTTACACAAATTCACAAAAGAATTAAGTATATAACTGAGAATGTATTTTGTATAAACACACTATCACATATATATAATTGACAATTGGAAAAGACAAACAGAAAGAAGGCTAAATAAAAGTTTTCGTTATGTGAAAGTTAACAAACAGAAAATAATGAGAGGCATATCGACTGATTGTCTGTATAATGCCGACAGTGATGACGACGACGACAATAAGAAGAATAATAATTACAGTATTACAATCAGCAGTAGTAGTTGAAACAGTACACATTAGAATAAGAGAGCGTCTCCCTGCTCAAAACAATCAATGTTCATTTTGTTCAACAAATTAAAAGAAAAGGCGCGCGAAATTCAAAATTACCAATATATAAACAACAGAGCTATTCATTTGTTTGTTTGTTTACTGCTTTTTATTAAACTACTTTTGTTGAATACGTGATTTAATTAAATCTGCTAATATAGTGGAGTCTTTAGCAAAACGTCGTATCCCTTCAGCTAATTTATCACTAGCCATTTCATCTTCATTCATATACCAACGAAATTCTTCTTCAGTTAATGGATGATCTGGTCGATGAGAATGTTGAACACTTGGTGATTTAGCTATTTATGAAAAAGGAAAGACAAAATGAAAATATGAAAGCAAATGAACAATTATTAAATATTTAAAATAATTAGTTCCCTTTATGAATTTAGATAAAGCAAAAAAAGGAGACGTAATTTGTCTGAATCGTGTAATGTGTATTTACGCAACACATTTCCAACAATCTGATCCATGACACACGGACTTGTCATAGGAGTATATATATATGAAATTAATAAAGAGGTAAGAGATGAGAAAATAGACTACTTAGGTCAAGTTAAAAGGACATATTCAAGGTCAAAATAACATATTTTTTAGTCGACGCCTTGATGAGTCAATAAAAACATCTATTTATAGAAAACCTACCTGGACAGGACAGTATCTTAATTACCACAGTTTCTGCCCTGTTCGGTACAAAAGAGCTATAGTGAGTGAGGTGCCTCTTCAGTAGAATCCAACGAATATGCACTGAATACACGCTTGATGAAGAAGAAAGAATGTTGACATAAACTCTGGTTGATAACAATTATCCAGACAAGTTCATCAAGGGATATACAGTAGTCAGAACACCAAGACCCACTCTCCAACTCGCCCCTAAGAAAGACGTGTACATCAAGCTACCCTATATGGGACATCAAAGAAGCTTGATAACTAGACGAAGACTGTATGCTGCTGTTAAAAAGACTTTTTATGCAGCTAAGATCATAATAATAGAGAATGTGTAGTCAATATCTCTATCTAAGCCCTTCAGACATGCGAAAAATGACGTCACATCCCACTGTATTTACCAATTTGGATGTACGTGTGGACACACATACATAAGGAGGACTCATCGATCTCTGCAAGTAAGGGCTTCAGAGCATATTCCAAAATGGCTCCAGAAATAAATGGAATCGTCAGAACCTATTAACGGTGAGAACAGGAGACCTAGCTGTTCTACTGCGAAACATATTATAGAGACAGGTCATAAAATTGATGTTAACAGATTTTTTAAACCTATCTATAAAACGTGTTTGGGGCGTATCCTAAAGTTTGTAGAAGCCCTAGCTGGCAATTAGAAAGTTTAAGCCAACTTTATGCGTTCAAAAACAATTCGTCATCACATTAAACCTACCATGGTAAATTTTGTTTTTATACCATAGCAGATGTACTATTACCTTTGCTATTTGGTTTAGTGGTCTTCATTGTTATTTGACCTTGAATATGTCCTTTTAACTTGACCTAAGTAGTCTATTTTATTTATTTATTTTTGATTACAGCTTGATTCCACACCGTATTTTTGGTACAACTATGGAATTTTCAGCGTGGATATCGGTAGCCCAAATTTTGCAGGCCGACCATAGATATCAAGTGAGCGTCGGCGAGGGTTCGAACCTCGGACGGTGTGCATGGTCGGCGAGAGTCGTAACCACTGTGCCACCGACGCACACCTCTTACCTCTTTATTAATTTCATATATATGTACTCCTATGACAAGTCCGTGTGTCATGGATCAGATTGTTGGAAATGTGTTGCGTAAATACACATTACACGATTCAGACAAATTACGTCTTCCCATTGCTTTATCTAAATTATTAAATATTCACAATGTAGGCTAGGGTTTGAACCCATACCTATGAAACTAACACACCACACATGCACTTTGGCGAGTCTAAAAAATTAAATTATCAGACAATAAGCCCAGAGAAAGATGGAAGGTTGGCAGTCCCATATCTCGTAGAGACAACACCATGGCTTGTAAAACTTCAAAGCTTGAATCACTTTGTCTTTCAATCAGAACACACGGAATAGAGAGAAAAACCGATTGAAGACACTTTTAATTCAATGAAATCGCTTACTATAGCAAAAGAGAAAATCAAAGTGAAGTACAAATGTATATTCAGTATTAATTGTAGACCTTTCATGAATGTGCACACTCCCCCGCCCCGGTGATCCACTTTTAGAGCAGAGAAAGTGGAAAAGGACTACTCACTATGCGTAAACGGGAAGCCTCTTTATACATGACTGCAATTCAAAAGGGCGATATACCAAGTGAAATAATTACGAAGACATCAATAAAAATCAGTTCGCAGAACTTTTAATGTTGGCGAACTACACATCATATTCTCTACACGACCGATGATGATTCCCCAAATGAAAGATGAAGTATCTTGACTAGTCACTTCCAACTGTATCTACCAATTCAACTGCACTGATGGAGGGAGTTATATCGGTCGTTGCCCTATGAACTTGATTTTTCGTGGTCACTCGAGAACATCTCCCAGCATGGCTAAGTAAAGATGTAGTAAAAACCATCAAGCAAGTCAGCTCGTAGACCATCAAGCCAGTGGGACCCGATCCAACGGTCAGTCTATGAATTCCAACTTCTACCAAATCACAACATAGCGCGGCCGTACTCCTGAAGAGTATAAAACTAGGCTGACGAAACAGCTGGCTGTCCAGTACTCCCAGCTGGTTTTCCAATGGTTCTCTATCCGATGTCAGTTCATGATGAAATCCTGTAACCAATCAATCAAATCCCTACAAACCAATATTTGAGTACTGTTTGTCTTGGAATAAAGCAGATCATTATTATTATAACTATTATTATTATAAATTCACTTGTCCATTTAAACAATATAAAAATATAAGATAATAAACAGTGACTTGCCCTATAAATATCCGGATTTCATGATTCTATCTATTAGGGTGTTTATTTTCATCTACAATTTATCTACCTCTAAACAAAATGTTCACCTTTATTCCGGGGTTTTACATGATTGACAACTTGTGTAGGTCACATTTCTCAGGACAAAATAAACCAAAGATTATCAAGTTAGGGGAGGGGGTGTCACAGAATGATTGACATCAGAGTAGTTAGAGAATTACCAATATAAGCCAGCCAGTAAGGAACACACTTATTTCACTCTAGTTTGGGACTGACTTTCTAGTACGATACATCTATGGGCCCAAAACCAACCACAAGAGATTAAACCTAGAATCTTTAGATTAAATGGCGAAGCAATTGACCTTTCAGTCAATGGGATGGAGAGTCATTCGATTTGTCTGTGTACGCTTTGTCTATCATGATATTCTCTCCCGAACTTATTGTGAACATGAAGAGTGATAGGTTGGAATCTTTACAAAATTATGAGAGTGCAAACAACATGAAGAGTGGACACTTTTTGATTGATCACAACAAAAAAACCCACTGAAAGCCACGGAATACTACTAGGTAGAGCTACGTTGTCCCGCTCTATGGGACTCTTCAGTAGCACTCACTCACTCATTCATGATCCCACCAGAGATCGTACCTAGGATCTTCAGGTTACAAGGCAAGCTTGTGGATCATTCAGTGACTAAGATGGAAACAAAATGGTTATCAGTTTTAAATTCGGACGATTAACGGCATGTAGCACAATCACCTGACCATTGTGTCATTGGCGAGTATCTTTATATTCTTACACCCAGCCTTGATGAACCCCATAGGTCACAACTTTCTACCAGAACACAAGATAACCTCATCCTGTAGTCAGTTACTATTAAGCATTAGATTAATTTTCACATATTGGTTTGCGGGGATTTGACTGACCAAGTGATCAAGTTAGATCACGCGCTAACATCCGTTAAAGAACCAGTGGATCTCTATACATGCATTCATTTGATTTAAGAATGGAGTATATAAATGACTTCATGCTTTAATCATTGACGTTTCAGAAGCACTTATGTTTTTTGAAGAGGTGAGGTTGTTAGCTTCTGTCTGTCTGCCTGTTTTCGACATAGAACTTTGCAACGATGTTCAGCATTTCAAGTCGCCACACTCCATGTAGCACACAAAACAAAAGAAGAAAGTACCACGTCAAGGTAGCAGCTATCGGTTGGGGTTGTTAGCTTCACGCCTAACGCGTTCCTTTTTTTCCCGAATTACTACCAGCTCGGAGATGTTTAGGAGTACGTTGGCTTGGAGTCGAAACCAGAGTAAACCTAAACAACCAAGGCACAAAATGGGCCTATCTAATCGATGCCATTTTCTTAGAAATATATTTTACAAATGTCTTTTTAAAAGCTTGCTCTCACAACTTCATGCTTTTCCTTGTTATTATCTTTTAATTTCATGTGATAACAAAAAAATCAGCAATGTACAAAATTGAACATTGAACACAGTGTGTTCAATAACCATGGATCAATATAACTGAAATGAACTTAACTAAATTTCATGCAGTTATAACTTATGATCACAAGTAAATGAAGAAAGGACGAATCACGCGCTTCACTTAAAAGACGTGATTTTTTTCAAAGTTCAATGAATTAAAACATGCTATAGTATTTTAACTGTTTAAGAAATCTTGTCTAAGTTAACTTAATAATACTTCACAATAAGGAGATATATCAATTTTTACAGAAAATTAAAACGATTTGAAGTTTAGAAGGGGAGTAATAGCACTACGGAAAACCAAGCATTCACTAGATAGATGTTTCCGTCTAGTTTACGACTCTTTATCAGTGCAGACTCCTCAAGAATCGAACACAGAATTATTATTATTACTATTATTATTATTATTATCTTCTTTAGTTCACCCTCGCACTGACGACCAACTCACCGCTTCCCATTCGGCTTCCATTCGAGAAATGGCCTGGCTTGTCATGTAACTTGATGGCTTTCTCAGAGTATGGCCAATCCACCTCCATTTCTTCCTGGTTATTTGTTGCACAATCGGTTCCTGCTGGGTTGGAGTGGTTCGTTCGTTGCTAGAGATTCCTCACTACTGCTGATCTTTTCTGGCCGGTAATCTGATCTTGAGTAGTATTGAGCAAAGACAACTGCTGATGAAGGTTTGTAGTTTGTTCAAAGTTCTCTTCATGACTCGGCGCCAAGTCTCTGATCCATAAAGTAGCACTGATTTCACATTGGAGTTGAAAATCCATACTTTATTTTTCATGCTGAGTGCTTTTCATCCCCATACAGACTTGAGAGTAATGAAAGGCTTGTCTTGCTTTCCCCAAGCTCGCTTTGATATCCTCAGCTGTTCTGTCCGTCAGTAGTTGAAACGATGCTTCTCAGGTAGGTAGGTAGGTGGGTAGGTTAAAGGAGGTTGCTTCTTTCAGATTTCTCTCCCATTTATGTTGATTGTTGTCTCGACCTTCATGTTAATTGGCAGGAATACTCACTGTTCAACCATTACACTAGGACCTAAGAATTCTAACTTTTGTCACTGTCATCAATATCTGTCTTCCTTCATATCTCCTTTAGTAAACCCCATAAGGTCCTAACTCATCAGAAGCCAATGACATCCAACGATTATTATTTCATCCGACCAACATTGGTACATTACAACATTTTCACTCATTATCAGAAATTGTAACGTACAAACATATGAACAAGTCTGTTATCATTAACATTGTCGTTGTTCACATATATATGGCTTGTTGAGACCGGCAGTGTTCGACTGTGGAAATAGGTACACACCGATAACATTGGAGATAGATTGTACGAATTGATGACAGTTGAAATTTATGAGCCATTCAACTTCAATTTTGGTTGCTAAATAATACACCTGCTGGCCTCATAACCTCAGTATCATGGAGGTGACCTAGTAAAGAGTCCCATACTGGGGACAAACAATTGCTTGGCGCGTCCTGATTTTCAAGGCTTCTCCAATTTGATATCGATTTGTGACGACACCAATATGTTTAAATTGATTACTGTGTATGCTCCGTAGGTGGTTTCCATGGCAGAATACCCATCAGTCACGTACTAGCTTCTAGTTCGATTCCCAACCGACACATTCATGAACCTTGCCTAGTTTCTTAACCAATACTAGGCTGGGAAAGAGGGAAGGTTGAAACGTAAGACTAGAAACCCCACATCATCAAAAAGCCCAACAACACTGCTAGTGAAACTTTGAAGCTTGAAGGAAAAAATTTTCTACTTAGGATATGCAAGGAATGAAAAACCAAAACTGTCTATGCTAGTGAAATTATCTCAGTGACTGGTATTTTATAACTAAACATCATTAAGTGATAAGCATTTCGCAACAACAAACTGATAATGACACTACCTACTCGTAAGTATAATAGCAAGAGCACTCGAACCGCCAGCAGATATTGATCAGCAGTCTGCTTCGTCCTACTTTATGGCTGAGAGAACTGGCCATTGAAAATGGAAGACATGAAAAGGGAGGCTAGCTGTCTTTGGTCATAGGTGCCTGCACTCTATCTCCCGTGTGAAGTGGTGGTATGATAAGGTGAGCAATATCGAGGTTAGGCGTCGAGTTCTAGGTAAGCGGGGAAAACAATCGACAAAGCTGTGAAGCTACATTGACTGAGATGGTTAGGACATGTGTTACGTATACATGCCTAGTCATCGCCTTCCTCGACTGACGGAGAATGTTAGCTGACATAGGATCCGGTTGAAAGAAAGCTAGTAGTGGTGGTCAAACCAAAACGTGGCACCAGTCAATGGAATGCACAACAGTTAGTTTAAGCCAGCCGCGTAGGAAGGTGTAGACTTCCTGACTGGTTGGGGTTCTCTTAACGGTAAAAGCCAATGGTTGTAAACAATAGGTGATGTGGCTCAAAATCGTTGTCAATGGCTGGCGCAGATGCATTCACTCCTTGTGACTCATAATTTCCAATGAAACTATATTATTCTTCATTATTACTATTCTTTTTGCTTCATATCTCTGTCTTCTATCTCTGTTATGCATTTTTTCTACTTTCTTCTGTTGTTTTATGTGCTACATGGAGGGAGTGTGGCGACTTGAACTACCGCACATCGGTGCAAAGTTCTATGCCGAAAAAAGACTAGTGCTAGGTAAGGAGGAGAAATCAATCGACGAGGTTTTGAAGCAGCTGCATTGATTGAGATGGTTAGGACATGAGTTACGTATGCCTAGGCATCACCTTCCTCGATAGACGGGCAAGGTTAGCTGACTAACACATAGGATGGATAAAGTTGGCAAAGAGATGACAAGTGGTGGTCAATCCAAAACATGGCTTCATCAGTCAATGAAATCGACAACAGTTAGTTTAAGCCAACCAGCCAAGTATACAGTTGTGGACTTCCTGATTGGATGGGGTCCTCGGGACAGTAAAGACTAATGAAAAAGACTGGAGACATTTGGTGATATGGATCAAAATCTTCGTTCTCAATGGCTTGTGCAGGTGTATCCATTCCTCGTGACTATGCGGTTCTTCGACATTACTATTCTTTTGCCTCATATCTCTGTTTACTGTCTTATTTTTGCATTTCTTTTTACTTTCTTTTCTGGATTTGTGTGCTGAGTCAAGTGTGGCAACTCGAACTGGTGCAAAGTTCTACGTTGAAACCAGCCAGTCAGTCAGACAGTCAATCCGATACGACAGGTTGCGTGTCACTACGACGGTGACATGGAGAAGATCACATGCGAGGAAGAGGAGGGAATGAAAGCTTGTGAGTAGTCCTAGAGACAGCTGAAAGTGATGTCAGAGAATTGCATGGAGTAGAGGTATACTACTGGAAGTCCGATGCTCCGATGCTGAAATCCAATGAATAGATGAATGATGAATGTTAAACGTACACTTTTATAAGAACCAATAATACTTTATTATCACTCACCTTTTTCTACACTTAAGCAGACAGTAGGTACTTCAGACATTTTACTTAATTCTTCTAATAAACTTGGTGCTATTGTTAACAGATCACATCCAGTTAGGCCAAGAATTTGATTGACATTTCTGAATGAAGCGCCCATTATCTAAAAGAAAAATGAAAATTATAGAGAGTTTGATATGTATTACCGATATGTCGATGACACACTTATCTTAGCTGATGGGAATGTTAACACAGGCGAATTGTTGCTGAAATTCAACAACGTCGACTCTTCGCTTTCTTTTACTTGTGAAGAGGAACAAGAGAATAAACTGCATTTTCTGGATGTCTTGCTAAGTAGGCGAGAAGATGGGTCACTTGGGAGAAGTGTGTATAGAAAAAGCACATTCACACGGCAATACACACACTTCCTTAATTATGTGTCCATTAAATATAAGAGAAATGTTGTTAAAGGTCTTATGAGCAGAGCAAGAAAGATATGTACGGATGACCTCTTACAAAAGGAATTTGAATATACTCACGATTCCGTGACGGAGATGGGCTATTTCAGTAGTTTCGCAAAGAAACATATAAAAGCATCAGAGAGAGAAAACCTGAGACTATGATTGCACGAAAAAAGCCTCTATTTATTAAGTTACAATTTAATGGTGACTTATCAAGTGAAATTTTATTCCAGAGACTTTCCGGGAGTAGACGAAGAATATTTTATGCAGCCTACCTATGTTTGTCATTCTCTGGCCGACGAATGATTGGCACGCAAACGAAAGATAAGCTATCTAGTTACGCCACATCTATGTATATTTATCAATTCGAGTGCACCTGCGGTGACAGTTATGTTGGGCGTAATACTAGACAGTTTAGCCAACGTGTCACTACTGAACATCGCCCATCATGGTTTGGCAAAAGACGGACAAAAAGAATCCGTAGCTTAATTTTATTACATTTAATTCATAGTGGTTATGTAGTGGAGAAAACGAGAGCTCGCAAAGTAATTCATCGTATCCCACCGAATTTTTCAAATATACTTCGTATTCAATTGAATTTTGATTTTCCCGTCGATTGATTGGACCGAAGTGCTCGGTCTCAGGTTGACATGTCGGCTTCTCGTGCAGATGCCTCGACGATGTCTGGCCATTTAATTAGTATACAGTTGGTGGATGGTGGCTAGCAGTGGAATCATCTCAGTGGGAACATCATCACTCACTGAGAAATGCAGGTACATCCAGTTGACGAGTCCCAATTAGGACGAAATGCGCATCCTGGATTCCACTGCTAGCCACCATCCACCAATTGTATACTTCGTATTCGTCTACTGCATACAGCTGAGGCGATAGGCATTCGAACTATTAAACTAAATGTGCATTCAAAGAAGTTCGTAAAGCCATTATCCCTCCCTTGTCGACCTATTAAGACATAACCAACTAATGACTTTTACACCACCCCTTGTTTATATTTTCAACCCTACCCTTTCTTATCATCCCTTAATCTTGTCACATCTTCATTAAAAACGTGTTTCATTTACTTCCCTTACAATTTAACATTACTTAATCGGTTCATTTGTTTTTACTAGCCTTTATAGACACTTCCACCTGAACATTTGTTTGTTTAATCATGAGGTTTTTCATTATTCGTGTTATCACAGATTGCCTCACTTTTTCATCCTTATTATTGACAGGACCATTATTATTATTACTATTACTATAATCATTACTACTATTATGACTAATTGCACAATTTATATTCACCATCGTATTATCCTATAAACAAAACACCATGAATAGTTTGTATTTGAATTTTATTTGTAAACTTATATATATTAGAGTTAAGGCTGATGAGACCTAAATGAAAACAGCAATATTGTTCGTTAAAATATGTTGTTGTTGCTGGCGTCGGTGGTATGGCGGTTAGGACGCTGGCCAACCATGCACATGGTCCGGGGTTCGATCCCCAGCCGACGCACTCCTTTACCTCGCTGAGCCAGAAATAATACTGGTAAAGAGGAAAGGTTGGGCATGAGGCTGGCTAGCAACCCCATCCTGTAAAATAAACATTGCTACAGAAACTTCAAACCACTAACTTGAAGCCCTATGTTCCACTGGGGAACGTGAAGGAAAAATATAAAAAAATATGTTGTTCTAAATTTTACTATGGGAATATTTAATATAGAGAAAGAAAAAAACAAACAAGTTAATAACAGTTCACCCCCCCATAGGATGATCTGACTTAGTAGTTTGCTCAGAGAGGAAAGGAAAATAATTCAGCGTCCCCAATTCCTACATATTCTTAAGTCGCTCTTCTTTGGAAGCTTGACAAGGTAGTCCTTCATCTATTCGGTAGACACCTTTCCTTCCTCCCAAATCATCTACGATAGTGACATGAGCGGACCTCCTGTGACCTCTAGGTCCATTCTTCAGTGCTTCAGGAGGAATCCCGCACGGTCCTACTGCTTTTCTGGCTCATAGTAACTTTATGGCATTGAAGACTATTATGCTTTTGTCAGAGGATTAATGTTCACCGGCAGTTCTACAACTATCTATGGTATTTATGGACAAGTTCCAGGAGATCGTGTAAGAAGGGAAGGACAGTTTTCGGGTAACCGTGGGGTCATCTTAAAAAGGACTATAGAGAACAAGGTGAAATGGAGCTGCATGTTCCACTTGGAATAATATAAGCAATAATCATATACCAAAATGATGTTAATATATCAGCAATTTCTATCAGACAGATCGCTAAAAAAAATCATAATCAAAATGAATAAACAAACAATGGCGGTCATTTGACCAAATTAACATATTTCTTTCAGGTTGATGAAATGGAATACTACATCATATCTATGATGGAGTAAAGTAAAATTTAAAAAATATTCAACTATACTTCGTCTCATATGCATTGCTGATGCTCCAACTAATTCTACTAGCATAGTAATGATCCTTTTTTCTCAACCAACTTGATCATTTAGAGATCACTGAAAACCAAGGAATATCAAAGAGGTGTTTCTTCCTAGTTCAGGACTCCACATAAAGACCAACCCACAAACGCCATCCCCCCACCCCAGCAATGAGGAATCAAACCCCAGAACTTCCAGATTATGACACCAAGTTGGTTGACCATTCAGCCTGAATTCTAACTTCTGTCAGTTTGTAGTATAGTGCTACCCCCAACATATCAGAGCCTTCGATGAGCACCCACCCACACAAAATCCCATAATCTAAGTCTGATGTTTACTTCTTTTAAACCCGTTCTAGCTCTTCTATTAATGTCAAACTCTTATATAATATATCGCATGTTTCCTCGATTTTACATGCACTCTGGCACTCTAATTTAACTTCTCCTATGTATTGATTAATATTAGCAATTATTGTTTATGGCTGGGGTTCGGATACCCAGCCGACACACTCCCCTTACCTCAATTGGCAGGTTGTAAGCATGGTAAAGAGGGAAAGTTGGACGTCAGGCTGTCTGTTTTCGACATAGAACTTTGCACCACTATGCAGCAGTTCAAGTCGCCACACTCCCTCCATGTAGCACATAAAACAACAGAAGAAAGTAGAAGAAATGCAAAATAGAGACAGTAGACAGGGATATGAGATAGAAAGAATAGTAATAACAAAGAATGATATAGTTTCATTGGAAATTATGAGTCACAAGGAGTGGAGGCGTCTACAACAGCCATTGACAACGATTTTGAGCCACATCACCTATTGTTTCCAACCATTGGCTTTTACCGTTCAGAGAACCCCAACCAGTCAGGAAGTCTACACCTTCCTACGTGGCTGGCTTAAACTAACTGTTGTGCATTCCATTGACTGGTGCCACGTTTTGGTTTGACCACCACTACTAGCTTTCTTTCAACCGGATCCTATGTCAGCTAACATTCTCCGTCAGTCGAGGAAGGCGATGACTAGGCATGTATACGTAACACATGTCCTAACCATCTCAGTCAATGTAGCTTCACAGCTTTGTCGATTGTTTTCCCCGTTTACCTAGAACTCGACGCCTAACCACAATATTGGTCACCTTATTATACCACTTCACACGGAAGATAGAATGCAGGCACCTATGATCAAAGACAGCTAGTCTTTTCACATCTTTCCCTCTCAATGGCCAGTTCTCTCAGCCATAAAGGAGGACGGGGCAGACTTCTGAGCAGTACACCCGCCCTTTGGTAGACAGTCAGTTGGATATCACGTCTACGCCAGAGACGGTGTAAACTGGCATATGCGAACGTCAGGCTAGTAGTCTCACTCCGTAAAAAAGAATAATACCACTGCTACTGGAATTCCAAAGCTTACAGCTTGAATCCCTTTTTCCCTTAAATAATAATAATTACTTATGAGAATTCATCTGTTTGATTAGTAGCTAGTGTCGTACGTCTAGACTCTCGTTTGTCGCAAAACTGAATTCTATCAGTCAAGTTTGCAATATGGCCATCATGCATCCTACGTGGTTAACAGAATTCAGTCTGCATGAAATGAACAACTAGGTGTATCTAATGTCCAATCGAAGTATTCATTACAGTCTTACAGAGGGTCAATTGTGCGCACGTATAACTCAGTGGTAATGTCTCTGATTGCAGCATTCACTAACCTGAATTCGAATCTCAGATTGGATATGAGAATACGCCTTATCGACTTGTAAGTGCACAAGCCAACAAGTACGAAACCTAAGTGCAAGTCTTTCTGCCGATTGCCTTCTACCAACTAACAGCAATTCATCTCTCCTATTACCATCCTTTTTGTGAAAAAGAATTCTTATATAAATGAGACTGTACAGCTAAAGACAGAAATGAAATTGTCGGATAAAAATGGACTCTTCGATGAAGTACTATCCGATTTTTTCCTTCATCAATTACTCCAATTATGCACAGTCTTCTGAAAACCTTGAGAGCATCCATCTTCGAATGTTTGGCTTACGATTCGCTGCTGCTGCTGCTAAATGTGGGACGATACTACGGGACTGGACTACATCGACTCAATCCTAGAATAAAGATAGGGAGTGAAGTGGTAGAGCGCGTTGACCACTTCATTTATTTGGGTAGTTGCATCAGCCAGTGTCAGTGGATTGATCACTGACGAAATCTCAGCACGGATACAGGGCGGGTGTACTGCTCAGAAGTTCGTTCTATCCTCCTTTATGGTTGATACC